AGCTTCATTCGGCACGGGATGGCTTCGGTAGGGTGCAGCCGTGTGGTTTTTATACTGGTTTTTACGTATATAGCTTACGTAATTTTTTACTTAAGATGTAAATTAATGCTGAATAATCAAAAGCAAATGAACTCCAAAGATTAAATCTTGGAAGGTTAGCCTGGTGTGTGCGCGCTGGTCTTCAAACGGGAGAGGCTGCGCGGCGCTCCCGGCCGGCATCCCGGAGCCCCTGCAGAGGTAGCCTGGATTGGTCATGGGATCAGAGGCCAGAGTGTCGAAGGAGAGGTATCATAGAGGCTGAAAATGAAGAATTACTCCACAGTATCATTGATTTGATATAGAAGAAATCATATAGATTAACCTAAATTGATAGGACTCAAGGGGGTGTAATCTGCGAAATGCACATTTTATAACTTGTGTGAACATTTTTAGTAGCTAAAAATGTTTCAGGTATTTTAGAGTTTGGAACAACCTGTATCTAGACTTAATACATTAACGTGAACATGTTTATTAAACGTAACCTCTCTGTGAAAAATATTAATAAGCCAAGATGTGCCTAAATATTCGGGTACTTCACGCTGAAGCTCATACATATAAATATGTTGGAGTTACGGACAGTGATGGCGCAGCTGATGTCTTGCTTGATGAGATTCACTAGTGCTTGCCCTGAATTTGTAGGACAGTAGTGTTTGGGTTACATTAACCTGAAATTAAAGCGTATTGTTTGTTAGGAGTCAGGCCTGGGTTGCAAGTATATAATTAAAATCTATACCATGTTACTGCTACCATGAAAGTCTCGCTTATCTTTGGTTATTTTCCAAGCAGGAAAGTAAGGGTATTGTGAGCCTTTTATTTGAGATGCTGAGAGCTGTTAGGATGAGTATTTTAATTTTCTTGTCAGTAGTGACACTGATGTTGTTGCAGTTTCTAGAACTGTCTCTGTCAGACACCGGGTCCTCTTCTATCCGTCTTCGCAGGAGTTCTGTGCACTGTTCCCTTCCTCCTCCTCCTCCATCAGAGACTAAGCTTCCCAGCCGGCGGCCCTGGGTGTGAGCAGGCCCTGGGTGGAGCAGGGCGGCTTCCCAGAGAGCCGAGTGCTTGAGAGAACAGAATTACCGTAGAAAATGCTGCGGAGCTCTGTCTCTCCCCATCTCTCTCTCTCTGTCTCCTTCTCCCCTTTCACTTCCTCTTTTCATCAAGATGAAGACTATTGGGTAAGAAAAATTTTAAGTGGCTTAATGAAATATTATGATTTTATGCATAGAAGTAAACCTAGAATTTTCTTGGTGTCCCTTTTTATCATAGGTGTTTAATGTATGTTTTAATGGCTGTAGAACTTGAATTGCTCTAGAATGTGAATGACTAGCCTTGTGTTTTATTCATTTTTGACTTTTGTAAAGGATCTCCCATGAAGGGTTCTCCTTTTAGAATTTAATACTGTGTAGTTACCTCCCTGACTTCAGTGAAAGGTAACCGAGTACTTGGAATGCCAGCGTCTAACTTCAACTACAAGTATTAAACAAGTAGATCTTTTACCTTCAGTGCAGGCGGCATAACCAAAGGGTGGTTCTTATTTTGGTGTGCTGACAGGTAGCTTTCTGCTGTATATTACGGCACTTCCAGATTTGGTCGTCACCGAATCGGAACTTGGGTCCTAGAAGTGCACTTGTAGCTATTTTTTTTCTTTTACTGTAGGAAACACAGTGAGAACCTTATTCTTAGAATGTAGCAGCAGCAACGGAAGGGAACTGCTCTGTAAGACTCCCACGGTTTGAGCACGTGACACTGCCCCGGTGTTGGGGAGCAGGGTATAAACATACACTTACAGCAGATGTAGAATAGTTAACGGTAAAGTTTTATATGTATGTTTTAACTCCCATATTTATTATTTTGTAGAGACATTTGTGATTGTTTAGAGTTATTGTTTTTATTATATTTATGTATAAGGTTGACTTTTTTTTAAATAAATAAGCCAAAAATTATTTTTGAATGCCTCTGTCATCTTTTGCAAAAGAAGGACAATTTAAAAAAATCAAAACTTAAAAGAATTAAGAAAAAATTGTTTAGGCCTAAGGTTTTGAAGGTGGCAGTGAGACATTTCAAAGCTGGAATACTATAAACAAAGTTGGAGTTTCCTTTCGGCTTCTCTTTGGTTTAAGAACTTAGGAAAGGGAATGAGAAGATGCATTTGGCTGGGTTGGAAGAAAACAGAAATACAGCAACCTGGTGACCTCCCCCCAGTCCCTACGTACACATACGGTCCTGGCCCGTCCACCCTGGCCCATGCTGGCTCTGCTTTTCCTGCCACCGTTACTTAACGTGTTCGTAGAGTGGGAGTGAACGCCATTTCGCTCTGGTCGAAACTGGGATGTTTGGGTGTTCTCCCTGCCCTGGTAATTGTAGGTGCTATGCATCCTTTCTTCTTTGTCCTTTTCCATGTGTCGCTAAGTGTGTTTTAAAACCCAAATGCACCTTCACTGGATGGAGCAAATCTTTAATCTGAAAAATGAATGGTACTCAGAATATGAGGGTGTCTGTAACTTTTTAAGTGATCAGTGTTTGCTTGCCTGAAAGCTTACTTTTCTCTTTCATGTTTTGTATCTCATACTGAATGCTCTCCCCTAAGCATAAGCTCTTTTATTATTAGATATGCAAAGGGAATAATCACAGCTGTTTCCCGGAAATGTTTATGCACATAACATGTATGGATGAGACATTTTTCAATTAAAAATGTTAAAACATTGATTTTATAATTTATAACTTGTTTTATAGATCTGTTTTTTCAACTTTGAGAAATAAGCAGTTTTTAAACAAAATCTGCTGCTTAAAACTGAGTCTTCTGTGAAGCCTTACTCACATGTAAAGGTCATTTGGTACCTGGATTTCTTCTTCCAAATAATAGTGCAATTTGACACTGCATTTAGTCTTCCAGATCAGTAATCAGATCTTGCTGTGCACTAGGGAATATAGAATGCTACATTTAATCCCGACAGGAGATCCTGCTGTTGACAGACTTTTAAAACGAAATCTAAGGCTTTAGTATGTTGAAAGCTGACTCTCTCAAGTTAGGTCTTTCTAAAAGATCCTCCTTAGCAAGTTACTGAAAGTAAAGATACGGCGGTAACAATTCCTTATGAACCCACAGTGAGTACTTCTGGCATGAATTTATAGCCCTCTTCTACCCTTCCAGCCAAAGGTCATTCCAAATGCTCTCTGTGGAATTTGTCTGAAGGGTAAGGAGTCGAACAAGAAAGGGAAGGCTGAATCACTTATACACTGCTCCCAGTGTCATAACAGTGGTAAGTACTGACGGGTCTTAACATCTCAACCACCCTATTTGTTGCTTCAAAAACCAGCATTTTTAGTTGTCCACTACACCCGAATCAAAGAATCCTCAAATATACAGGGTAACTTGTAAGGCATAGGGAAGGAGCCCATGTATTTTCCTCTGCTTTGTATTTTCATTTCTTTGGTGATTAGACATTGTAGCCATCTTGAGAAATCCCAAAGCAAACTAGCATTTTGTTATTTTATTAAATTCAAAATTCTTCTCTGAAATACTAATATTGGTTTTGGTTTAGGCCATCCTTCTTGCCTGGATATGACCATGGAGCTTGTTTCTATGATTAAGACCTACCCATGGCAATGCATGGAGTGTAAAACTTGCATTATATGTGGACAGCCCCACCATGAAGAAGAAATGATGTTCTGTGATGTGTGTGACAGAGGTTATCATACTTTTTGTGTGGGCCTTGGTGCTATTCCATCAGGTAAAGATTACGAAAAGGAATGAAGGGACTCTCCCATCACTTTTTTTAAAGGCTGCACAAGCACCTCAGAGATCCTTCTGTTCCCAAGAAGTTACCAAAGCTGTGACTATCCAGATAACGTCCACCTGCTTTTCATCGCTAGGTGACCCGGCTAAAGGACAAAGGGGGTCAGAGGGCCGCCTCCAAGTTTTGGAAAAGAGCTCATTGTATAGAATGAACTCAGGCCTTTCCAGTGAAAGAGCTAAAGCAGAAGCGTCCATTCATTTCAAAGCCTTGATTTTATTTTTGTGTCCTCTATTCAGATACTCAACAAAAATGCCTGCTATGCCTTTATAAATAAACCAGATTTCTATAAAATGAGGCAGCATAACAATTCCAGATAACTTTGGAACACAGAGTCGAAGAATAAATCACAGTAATTGGACTAAAATATTACACATAATTGTGTAAATTTAGAACTTAACTTGCATAGTTAACACTGTATAATACTTTATAAAACCCACGCCTAGTAGTTTCCTGGGAGTCATTAAGAAGCAGGTGACTTAAAGTTCGGTAGTAACTCAGCTGAAGTAACCTAGTGCGGTTCATCGCTGTGTGGTCAGATGCTGGTCAGGTTTAAAGTGCTGTCTGGTGCACCAGGACGTGAGAGGAGTTCACACATGCAGCTGCTGCTGAACAGCAGGGGAAAAGGCTGGAAACAAGCCAAAGTCAGTAACAGGGTTTATAGACGACATGTACTTTTGAACTTTTAAAGTATGACAGTGTCTGGGTTTCAGAAAGGATTGTAGTAATTTTTTAAAGGTCCAGATCATTAGATGGTATTGATCTCCTCTCCTCCCCCAACTTGCACTGAATTTTACATGGCATTGTTTACTCCGATTTTTCTCCTTAAATTAAGGAACTTCCTGGTGCCCTTCACATCACACATCCACAGAAAAAAATACCACTAGTGATACCTAAGGAAGGAGCTCCAAATAGGTTTAAAACTTAGTCCTAAAAAATTAAATTTCATATTATATTAACTAACAATTTTTCTCCTAGGTCGCTGGATTTGTGACTGTTGTCAGCGAGCCCCCCCAACACCCAGGAAAGTGGGCAGAAGGGGGAAAAACAGCAAAGAGGGATAAAATAGCTTTTGATCCCAATATTGTAACATGGACTTAAACGAAATACTTGGTGCCTATTTACATTCTCAATTTTATGCCAATAAAAGATTTCTGAAATTAACCATGTGCTTAAAATCTGTAAGTTGATTTATTTGTTATAAGCTACTATTCCCCTTAAAACCAATTTCAGGTAGAGAAATAGTTCATTTTCTTTTCTTTTTTTTAAGTCTCTTAGTGCTTTGGCTCTCTCCAGAAATTCAGTGGAAATATAGGCAACGTAATTGAAGTACTTATCTAGTTTTCCTTGGCCTGAAAGTTATTACTTGCATGAAGTTTTCCTAATCTGTCTGGTTTCTGGCCAGTCCTGGGTAGCATAACAAAATTACAGAGTCTCAGGTGATCAGTGCCAATGACCTTAACCTGCAGGGAGGCAGGGGCGCGCGCCTGCGCCAGGCGGCTCGGGCTTGGTCTCTGGGCTCGGTCTCTGCTCCGGGCGCAGGCACCCCACTTTAGGCCACATGCGAGCAAAGAGGAAGAGCTGGTTACATTTCCGACCCGTTCCAGGTGTGCACGCCGGGACCTCATCTCCAATCACTGCCTGGGGTGAAGGCGCAGCCACAGACCTTTCCAGCCGGGCGACTCGGCTGCGGGAAGGGTGCTGCGTTTTGCCTAAGCCCCCAATCCCCTGACACACCCATCAAACTGCAGTCGAAACATTTTATTGTGCGTATTCCTCTTACAGGGGCTTTGAGAACCGAAAAGAGCAACGTCGTTCTTGCCGCGCTCCCTACTGTCGGGGTAAGTGAGGTAACGAGCGTATGGCTTTACGGAGAGAGACCTCCCGGCGGAGGCCCGCGGCCACCGGTTTGTTCGGGGCGTTCCAGGGATCAGAAGAGGATCTCCAGCACCAGTTTCAAAACGCTAATTAAGACGGTCCAGAGCACGGACTCCTCCTCCGGGGGCGCGGCCTCGGGCGCCGCCGCCGGCCTCTGGCTCCGGCCCGCCCCGGCGTCGGCCGCCTCCCCGAACGGGGGCTCCGGCGCGCGGTCGTAATACACCTTCATCTCAAACTCGCTCTCGTGGTGGGACGGGTGCCCGTACACCCCGATGCCCACGGGCCGCCGGAAGTGCGCGGGGATGGCCACGGCGTCCGGGCCGCAGGTCACCGACTGCAGGTCGTAGTCGTCGAAGCTCGGGTGCAGGGTGCTGTCGGACACGTACAGGTCGGCGTCGCCCCTCAGGCTGCGCATCCGGAGGACGATCTTCCCCTCGTGGTTCAGGCGCAGGTAGCTGTAGTTCCCGGCGCCGATGTGGCCCTGCACCACGTGCAGCAGCAGCCACTCCTCGGGAACCGCGTCCTCGTCCGGGGGGCCCCCCGCCCACGCGAGCTGCGAGGCCAGCAGCAGCAGCAGCAGCGCGCGCCGCCAGGCGGCTGCCATGCCCGACGCGGGGCGTCAGCCGCCCGCCCGCGGCCTTCCTGCGGGACGACCGGAGCACTCAGCGCGCCCGCGCCGCCGCCCGGGCCCGGGGGCGGGGACGGGGGCGGGGGCCGTGCGGGGCGGGAGACGGAGGGCGCGCGGAGGCCGGGCGCAGGGCCCAGCGGAGGGGCGGCTCTGGGGGGGACCGCCCCGCCCGGGGCGACGAGGGGGGCCCGCGGGCGGCGGCGGCGGCGGGGGGGAGGGCGGGCCTCCGGGCCTGGGACTCACCGCCGCTGCCCGACGGCTGCCGCGTCCCGAGCATCGGGAGCCGCGCCGGGCCGCCGCGCCGGAGCATCCGGAAGTGACGCGAACCCGGAAGGGAGGCGTGACCCGGAAGCGAAGGTCCTTTGGGCTCTCGCGGGAATGACGAGAGTCTCGTGGGCGCGGAGCCGCGGCGGCTGGTAGCCGGGGCGACGGCAGCGGGGCGGGCCGCGGGCTGCCTGCTCCGTCTCGCCGCGACCGGGCGTCCGCCTCCGGGCTGCGCCCGCTCCCGGCGGCCCGAGACCCTCGCCCAGCGCTTGTCACCTGCTCTCCGTTCTTCATAAGAACATGGTACTTTTTGAAATTCTCCTAAAAGAAGCTTCACAATGTAGTTATGTTTATATTCAGGATATTTTGTTAATTTGGAACCTGGGATTAAGGGGCACCTGTTGGTCATTGAAAAAGATTTCTGGAAGAAAGATCACGCTTCTGTGTTGAGTCCGGTTCTTTGCCTTTATGGGAATACGCGGAGTGTAAACCCTGAGGACCGGGAACGGCCACCGTGCCAAGCAGCTGGTCGGGGAGCCGCTTCGGAACCCACTTACGTGCGTGGGGGTGACGTGGCGGGCTTACGGCTGATTGCTCTCTGTGGGTTCATGTCCCTGAAGTTGGGAAAAGCTGTACCCAGGTGGGTAGCGACCCACTGGTGTTCGGGCTGATGCCGGAGACGCGCTGGCGGCTGTCAGCACCCTCCTGCGGCGTCGGGCTCTGGTGACGCGGGAGCCCCGCGAGCCGGGCGTGACCACCCGTCCCGTTCCCTGTGAAAGCGTACTGGGCCTGGCGACGAGAGAGGGGCTGTGAGTAGGGGTACATCTGGGTCTGTTTTAAACAACTGAAGAAGGAGGGGCGCCTCGCTGGCTCAGTCTGTTGAGCGTCCGACTTCGGCTCAGGTCGTGATCTCACGGTTCGTGGGTTCGAGCCCCGCGTCGGGCTCTGTGCTGACAGCTCGGAGCCTGGAGCTGCTTCAGATTCTGTGTCTCCCTCTCTGCCCCTTCCTCACTGGCACTTTCTCTCAAAAATAAACATTAAAATAAATTTAACATAAAGGAAATTACTTTTATTTTATTATTTTTGAAATGTATTCACTTAGCATCTGTGCACAGGCACACAGACGTGCGGGAGGGGCGGGGGAGGGGGGGGAGAGAGAGAGAGAGAGAGAGGAGAATCCCCCCAAGCAGGCTCAACTCTCAGCACAGAGCCCGATGCGGGGCTGGAAATCAAGAACCCTGAAATCATGACCTGAGTTGAGTCGGACCCTTAACCAGGTGTGCCACCCAGGTGCCCTGCAAATGACTTTTAAAGCGAGTGTCGTAGCGATGGTCTGGAGGCATGATTTGTGCTCAGCTAACAAGCCATGGAGGCGCAGAAGTGCATAATGTGCAGTTTGAGAGCTGACAGACTACAAAGTCCACTTCTCTGCTGGCCAACAGAAGGAGTACATAGTCTTTTTTTTTTTCCCCATTTTTTTAATGTTTATTTTTTAGAGAGAGAGAGAGACAGAGTGTGAATAGGGGAGGGACAGAGAGAGAGGGAGTCACAGAATCTGAAGCAGCTCCAGGCTCTGAGCTGTCAGCACAGAGCCCGACGCGGGGCTCGAACCCACGAACCGCGAGATCATGACCTGAGCCGAAGTCAGACGCTCAACCGACTGAGCCACCCAGGCGCCCCATTTTTTTTTTTTTTTTTTTTTAAATTAAAGCAGCCATATAGAAAGAAGAGTATTATCTTTAAAAACATAATTTAGGGGCACCTGGGTGGCTTGGCTGAGTGGCTGACTGTTGGTTTTGGCTCAGGTGGTGATCTCCTGGTTCGTGAGTTTGAGACCCGAGTTGGGCTCTGCGCTGGTGGTCTGGAGCCTGCTTATGATTCTCTCTCTCTCTGCTCCTTCCACTCACACCCACTCTGGATAAACAAACCTTAAAAATTGTTTAGGGAAGGACTTACGGACACAGAAATGACTGTCTGATTTGGTGCCATCCCCACACCCCCGTCATGAGCCGTTGCTCCGCATGATGGCAGTCGCAGCCTCAGGACAGCTGGAGTTAGAGCCTCCTCCCACTCTGCGCGTGTGGAGAGCCATCGAGGCAACTTTATCGTTGCTATGACCCGCTTACGCTGCCATGGGTCCTTCTGAGGTGGCGAGCGCTCTAACGGCCTTTAAGTGCTTGGCTTGTGCCCGTCGACGTTCCCAGCTCTTCTGGCTTTCGGGGTTCCCATCAGCTGCTGCCTCTACTTACCACAGAACGTTATTCGCCTGGGGCCTTGCGCCGGGCCCAGTGCAGCTCAAAGTGGGCCCAGCTCTTTCGGCTGGACCCAGGCCCGTAACCACCAGCAGTTCCCAGTGTGGAATCTGGGCGGAGTCGGGAGAGAATCGGGGAAGGATTCCAACCCAGCGGGGACCTGTGGAGATGGACCGAGATGAGGAGCTCCGCGCAGAGAGAGGAGTGTGCCCGGGGCCTTCGAGGCCTGGAGGAGCAGTCACACTGGCCGCAGGCTGCCGCACCCGTTTCTCCTTGTCCCTGACGCCGTCAGACAGCGCCTCACACCCAGCCCTGCCGCTAAAGCCGTCGAAGCAGAGGCGCAGCCGAGCACACTTAACGGCCATGCTGGCCACTTCACGCGCTTGCGTCGGGCCGCGTCCCCTCGACCGATACACCGGAGCTGTGCTGAGCCCTGGGGAGGGAGGGCTTTTAACGATGGAGAGGGTGGGGGAAGGACATTATTAGAGCATGCGCTGTTTCAGGCAAGGTCGCCTTCCTCAAGGGAATGGACGGGGTCTGTGGGACACGTCACCAAATCTGTCACTAGAGCTGAGCAGGTAGTTCCGAGCTGAGTGGAAAAAGTGACGTTCCTGGGGACTGAGACCTCAGTCACATTAGGCACTAAGTCGTCTGCTGTGGCTGCGTTTTCGTCCTGCCGCTCCTTTTTAACAACTCAGGTCTTTATTAAGCACCTAACGCGTCCTCGGCCCCAGGACACGGTTTTTCCTTTCCCAGAGCTGGACATCAGTCAGTTATGTAATTGTGTGTGTGTGAATGCAGTTGGCCTTTGAACAGCATGGGGGTTAGGGATACCTCCCCTCTCCCCGCAGTTGAAACTCTGTGTATAACTTTTGACTCCCTGGAAACTTAACTACTAGCAGCCTGCTGTTGAGTAGAAGCCTTACTCGTGACACAAGCAGTTAACACCTATTTTGTATGTAATCTGTACTACGTACTGCATTCTTACAATAAAATCATCGGAGAAAAGAGACTGTTAGTAAGGAAATGGTAAGGAAACTGCACTCCTGGAAAGTACGTGCTGTATTTATTGAAGAGCGTCTGCAGTCGCCCCTGTGCTGTGGGAGGAGCGGACGCGAGGAGTGAACGGGAAGACGGTGAACGGGGCCGGGTGGGGGTGTAGGACGAGCTGGGCCACCGGCGGGGCCAGGAGTTAGGTCCCCGCTTCAGAGAGACGGGCAGCTGTGGGCAGCGTCTGAGCTGTCTTTGTCGTCGAACCACAGCTGGTCATCCCTGGGTCGTGGGCCCAGCTCGAGCTCCTTAGGGAACTGAATTGCCCTCAGGCTGCGGAGGGACAAGCAACACTGCCCGGCCTGGGATGGGTGTGTCTCAAAAGAGAGCACTGGCTCCTGGAGCCCAGCGGCCAGCGCCCTGCAGGGTATCCCCTCGTGCCGTGCGTGTGGCACGAAAATGCCCAGCTGCACGTGGCAGCAGTGCCGTTACAGACCTCCCCCCGAATTGGGGATTGGTGTTACTCCAGTAAGTGCAGTGACCCCGCAGGTGTGGGGGCACGTGGGGTGGGCAGTCATCTGCAGGTGTAGGGGGGCGTGGGGCGGGCAGTCGCCCCGCAGGTGTCGGGGGGGCATGGGTGGGCAGTCGTCTGCAGGTGTAGGGGGGCATGGGGCAGGCCATCGTCCGCAGGTGT